ATGAAATGTTAAAGGGACTTATTGAAGAAAAAGAAGTTAAAAAACATGAACAGTGAAAGGACAGCAAACTCACAGTTATTAAGAACCACACCTAAAACAAAAGCAAACTAAAAGGACAGCTAGATCAGGAGGGGAAGCATAGAAATGAAGATCTCAAGGAGGGTTAGCAATAGGGGAGTGGGAGGAGGAGAAGGGGAGAGAAGGTACAGAAAATAAGTAGCATAGACAGTAGATAGAAAATAGATGGGGGGGGGCAAGAATAGTATGAGAAATATAGAATCTAAAGGACTTGAGACACATGGTCATAAACTAAAGGGGGGGAATGGTGTGGACGGGGGGTAGGGTGGAGGGGAATGAAGGGGGGAATAGAGCAACTGTAATGGCATAATCAATAAAAAATAAATTTAAAAAAATAAAATACATGAAGCAAATATGAGTGGACATAAAGAAAAACATAGACAGTGATACCAAAATAACATGGGATTTTAACACTTCATTAACACCAATGAATAGAAGGTAAACAAATCCCAAAGTGAGTAGTAGGAAGGAAGTAATAAAGATCTGAGTAGAAATAAATGAAATTGAGTCTAAAAAACAGTACAACTTATCTATGAGACCAAGACCTAGTTCTTTGAAAAAATAAACAAAATTGGTGAGTGAGCATTTAACCAGACTCATGGAAAAAAAAAAAAAGAAAAATAACCAAATAAATAAAATCAGAAATAAAAAAGAAGAAGTGATAACTGACACTACAGAAATACAAAGGGTTGTAGGAAAATACCACAAAAATTATACGCCAATGAATTGGAAATAGATAAATTCCTAGAAACACACAATCTTCTAAGCCTGAATCAGAAGGAAATAGGAAATCTAACAGGCTGATAACTAAGTCCTGGACTAGATGGCTTTACTTATGAATTTTACCAAACATTCAAAGAACTTAACACTTATCCTTTTCAAACTATTGAAAAGAATTTGTAGAAGAAGGAAAATTCCCAAGCTCATTTATGAGACCTGCATTATCCTAATTCCAAAACCAGAAAAATCCATTACAAAAAAGAAAATTATAGATCAATATCCCTGATGAACATAGATGCAAAAATCCTCAATAAACTATAAGCAAAGCAATTTTAGTTAGTATATTAAAAATATCATACACCATGGTCAAGTGGGACTTATTCTTGAAATGCAAAGTCATTTCATTATCTGCAAATCAATTAATGTGATACACTACATACACATAAAAACCATACGAGCATATCAATAAATGCAGAAAAAACTTTTGATGAAATTAAGCATTCATTTATGATAACAACTCTCAGGAAAGTGTGGATAGTGGGAACACACCTCAATATAACAAAGGCCATATATGACAAGCCCACAGCTAACATCATACTCAACAGTGAAAATCTAAAAGCATTTTCCTTGGTAACAGGAACAAGATAATAATGCCTATTTTTACTACTGTTGTTAATGTAGCATTGGAAGTCTTAGACACAGCAATCAGACAAAAAGAAAGAAAAGGCATTGAAATTGGAAAGAAAGAAGTAAAACTGTCATTATTTGCAGATGACATGATATTATATACAGAGAATCCTAGCGATTTCAACAACAACAAAAACTGTTAGAATTGCCAAATGGATTCAGTAAAGTTGCAAGATATAAAATTGATATTTAGAAAATGGTTGCTTTTTTATACACCAATAATGAACTATTGAAAAGAGAAATTAAGAAGGGAAAATGAAGAGACTGTACTTGAACAACAAATAAAAACAATTGCATTTAAAAACCTAAAAACAATGTTAATCCAGGAGGTAAAAAACTTGTACTAAAAAATTATAAAACATTAAAGAAAGAAACTGAAGAAGTTATAAATAAATAGAAGTGCATTACACGTTCATGGATAGAAAGAATTAACACCATTAAAATGTCCATCATACCCCAAACAATCTATAGATTCGGTGCAATCTTTATCCAAATACCAATGGTATATATATTCCACAGAACTGGAACAAATAATAAAAAATTTATATTAAACAACAAAAGACCCCGAATAGCCACAGCAATCTTGAGAAAATAGAACAAAGTTGGAGGAATCATGTTAGCTGATATTAAACCATACTACAAGGACATAACAATCAAAACAGCATGGTATTGACATAAAACGGCCACATAGATCAATGGAACAAAATGGAGAGCCCAGAAATAAACCCTTACTTATACAATCAATTAGTTTATGACAAAGGAGGTAAGAATATATACAATGGGATAAAGACATTTTCTCTAATAAATGATTTTGAGGAAACTGGAGAGATACATGCAAAAAGATAGTGAAACTATACCACTTTCTTATACCATGTACAGAATTAATACAAAATCAATTGAAGACTTAAATGTAATGCTTGAAATCAAAAACCATAGAATTTCTTTTAGGTATATATATTTTTGAATATGTCTCCTTAGGCAATGTAAACAAAAGAAAAAATAAACAAATGGGTTACATCAAACTAAATATTTTGTACAGCAAAGGAAGCCATCAATAAAGCAAAAAGAAAATCTACTTAATGGGAGCAGATATTTGCCAATGATACATTACAATAGGGGTTAACATCCAGAATGTATAGAGAACTCATGCAGTATAATACATTAAAAAAAAAACCCAATTCAATTCTCACCTATAAGTGCAACCTAATCAAAACAAACAAACAAGCAAAATATAACCAGATACATTGAAATTAAGAACAATCTGACAGTAACCAGAGGGGAGGTAGGAGGAGACATTTCAGGGAAGAGGTGGGAAGGCTTTTCAGGAACATCTATAAAGGACACATGATAAAAACCAAAGGGGGAGGATCAAGGGTGGAAAGTGGGGATGGCTGGGGTAGAGGGAATGGTGCTGGGGCAATGGAAACAATTGTACTTGAACAATAAAAAAGGTTAAAAATAAAATAATAAAATCTTTTAAAAAGTTGGCAGAGGAAATGAATAGCCAGTTTTCTAAAGAAGACATACAGTCCAAAAGACAAGAAAAGATGGTACATGTCACTAATTATCAGAGAAATGTAAATTAAAGCCACATTAAAATCATACCCGAGAGAGTGGCTATCATCAATAAATCAACAAACGTTAGCATGGACGAGGAGAAAAGGAAACCCTAGTGCACTGTTGGTGGGATTTGAAATTGGTACAACTACTATGGAAAGCATTATGGAGTTTCTTCAGAAAATTAAAAATCGAACTATACCATATGACCCAGCAATCCCCTGTGTTCACTAAGTATCATGTACAATAGTGAAGATATGAAAACAACCTAAGTGTCTATTAATAGATGATTGGATAAGAAAGATGTGGTACATATATACAATGGAACTACTTCACCACATAAAATCTTACCATTTATGACAACATATATGATCTGGCGGATATTATGCTAAGTGAAATATGTCAGACAAAGAAATAAAATTACCTTATAGTTTTACTTTCATGTGTAATCTGAAGAAACTAAATGAGCAAACAAAATAGAAACAAATTCACAGATAGAGTATACTGATGGTTACCTGATAGGAAAGGGTTTTGAGGGGGGCTGGACAAGAAGTGAATGGGATTAAGAAGGGCAAATTGATAGTTATAAAGCAATCATAGCGATGTAAAGTACAGCATAGGGAATAAAGTCAATAATATTGTAATAACTATGTGGTGCCAGGTGGGTATTAGGCTTATCAGGGGATCATTTTGTAAGTGATATAAGTATCCAACCACTATGCTGTACATCTAAAACTAATATAATATTGAATGTGAATTAGTAAAAAACTGAACTGTAATTTAGAAAAGGTTTGTAACAGTGCCCAGAGGCTCCTTGGATAGGGTTTACAAAAAAAATATCAAAAGATACCTTCTGTGAAGACAACTTGAAAGCCAACCCAGAGAAACAGGTGTTTTACTCTAAAATTTCTAGAAAAGATGATAAAGTCAGAGCTATCTTAGCTCCTGTTTTTTATCTAACAGATTTGTGGAAACAGAAAGTCTTTCTGGAAGTCTTCTCTTCTACTCACTCTGTCCATTTCCTAATAGGGGCCTCCAGATTTCTCTTTCCTTTCTCCTGGAATAGAAGGGAGCCAGGAGATACCTAGCTTGCTCCTTTGAGAGGAAGAGTCAACTGAGGGACTATGTCTGCTGCTGGCCTCAGTAGGCTGGGATCTGCTTCAGGACTGTATGATAGTGGCAGTGCTACACTCGTTTTTATGGACATGGGATCATCTGTTTGCTACTTTGTCTCCATGTCCCATCCAAGTCATGGCACTAGAAAAATATTTGCTTCTGTCAGTAGGCTGTACCTATAAATAAATTGGAAGATAAAAGAGGATTTTCTAATTTTCAAATTGTCACAGGCACATCCTGGTAAATTTGCCTTCATGATTTTTAATAGAAGTAAAAAGGTTTGGGTAGATTGTATTACCTGGTTGAGAACCACTTTTATTTGAGCAACCACAGATGGGATAATAAACCCATTCTTATCTCAGCCTCTAAGCAAAATGCAAAGAATCTGAAATTAGACAAAATTGCCCTTTATGGTGTTTTGAGGAAAAAGCTGGAAGTGAATGGAAATGCCTGTGTGCTAGGAAACTTATAGGTGTGGGGAGCTCACGGTTAGGGATTTGTCTTTCCTAACAGCATGCAGCCTTCTCTTGGGCTGTGAATGTATTTGCTTCCTGTATGCAGAGACTCACCACTGTATTTCAACTTCAGTTTATTTATCTACAAAATAGAAGTACCATTCCTTATTTCCAGGTTTGTTGGGAAAGTATGGGAAACCCCTGGCCCAGTCCAGCCAGATGTCAGGTGTTCAATCAACATCAATTAAAACTCACCCTGTTCTTTTTATGCAAAAATGAATATTTTATTTTTGCAGAAAATAAAATAAAATAACACAAAGTCACTGTATTTCTACATTGAGGTGGAAACAGTGTTAAAATACATTCTTGTCAAATATATTCTAAAAGAAAAATATGGAATGCTTCACGAGTTTGCATGTCATCCTTGTGCAGGAGCCATGCTAATCTCTTCTGTATGATTCCGATTTTAGTATATTTGCTGCTGAAGTGAGCACCTCATCCTGGTTTTGTATCAGGATGCCCACCCTGGCTGGACGTATGTTTCTACCAAAAAGCAGATATTCAAGGGCACCCTGCCCTCCATGAGGAGCAAGGCCTGGTGAGTGGTCTCCACATGTCTGATGGACACACACCCATGTTGTGTGACCACTGGGGTCCCCCCACACCACTGCAGCCCTTTATAGGGTCAGAGACTTTCAGGCAGGTGACTCAACCCTTCCTCTGTCACTTTGCATCTCTCATATTGTGGTGCAATTATTTATCTATAATTGGTCTTTTTCCCCCCGAGTGGCATGTTTTGTAGTTGCTCTTATCTTCAGGGCTCAGCATAATGTCTGACATGCAGTAGGTGCTCATTATGGACTAAATGTTTGTATCCTGCCCCCCAACCCAATTCATATGTTGAAGCCCTAACCCCCAATGTGATGGTATCTGGAGCTGAGGTCTTTGGGACACAATTAGGGTTAGGTGAGGTAATGAGAGTGGGGCCCAAATGGTGGAATTATCTCCCCATCCCCTCAGCATGTGAACGCACAGAAAGATGGCAGCCACCCCCTGCAAATCAAGAGAAGAGGCCTCAGAATAAAACATACCTTGCTGGCTCTTTGATCTTAGTCTTCCCAGCCCTGATAACTGTGAGAAATAAATTTCTATTGTTGAAACCCCCTAGTCTATGGTATTCTGTCATGGCAGCCTAAGCTAAGTCCTCAAAGAATTTTTGTGAGTGAATGAAATGAGTGACCTCGAGTTTGGTGCTCCCACACTTGGGGTAGTGATGAATCTGGGTAAGGTCCCCTGTGAAGGAGGATGTGGCTGAGGCTCCAGAGTTGAGAAGTATACTTATCCCTTCACCCAGAATAAAGGTGTATAAAACTGGTTGTGTAACCCTTAGTTTCTCATTCATTTTGAAGTTGTAAAAGTAAGACGCAGAGAAGTAGTAAGTCTACTGGGAGGCTTTTGTTTGAATGAGCCATGGGCTGAAAGCCTACTTCTTCCCATAAGAAAAAAAAAGGGTTGGTTCCTTCCCATGTAACCCAAAGGAGAAGTTGAAGAGAACCATTCAATAGCCTGTCTAAGGCCTGAGAAGTTCTAAAGATGAGAGGCTGTGGCTGAACAGGCCTGAGGAGGATGGTTAGAGAGGGACAAGGTGGCCTCAAATTGCTCCTCTCCTGGAGTTTGGCAGGGCATGAAGGGAGTTTACCCTCTCTTGGATGGTGTGGACCTCCCAGAGGGATGCCAGGAGAGGGTATGCCCTCAGTTGCAGTCTAGAGGAAGTCAAGGTCATAAGCAACTAGTAGAGAGGTGTCACCCATATTAATAAAATTGTAGATGAGATAATGCACATAAGACCGTGACAGAAGAAAGGCATTTGGAGTCTGCCGTGCTCAGAGAGCATGGATGTCATCCCTTATGTCAAGTAAGACCTTCCTGTCTTTTCATTCTCTCCTATCTCTACCCTATCTGACCTTGGGGGTGGTCATCCGAACAACAGTCAATAAGTCAAGGTAGATTGAGAACATAGTGACACACTGACTGCCCCTGCTCCCCACTCCTAAGGGCTCCAACTTGAGCCAACCTAAGCTTTTGGGTAGGGGTTTCAAATAGGATAAGAATTGGAGGCTTTAATGTTATATTATTCTGAACTTCTTTTTTTTCTGAGATTTACCCCCACAGTTATGAGACTTTTCTAAAAGGTTCTCCAATTTTCAATCAAGAATGTAAATGGAGGGGCTGTGGTAGAATAAAAGAATGAAGTTGTTTACTGTTTGTACATATTAAGTCCAGCTCCAGAAGTTGCAGATTATGTTGTATTCTACTGGTGTGCTCTGGTGAAGCCTGGAAACACATGATCTGAAGGAGGTGGAAGAGGGAGGGTTTGCAGCAACTCTTGAAGATGGGTGCTAAGGCTTCTGGCTTTCAAGTACCAATCTGATTTATCTATGTAAACCAGAGATCAGCAAGAGAAGAAAGGGGGCCTTCAGGTTTCTTCCAAATCAAGATACAGCACATTTTTAACCCTATTAGAAGATTCAGACACAAAGGGAGTTTAGAGGGAGAGAGGGCATATCAATTTAGGCTGTTTCTTTACATGATTCTTTGCATGAGGTTCCCTCTCAGGATGAAGGGATCCAAACCAGGGTTAGGTAGGGAGCATTGGAAAATTAGCCTTTGAGTTGTTACTTTACTCTTTTATCTATTATTTATTTTTTATTCAAACTTAATTTTTATTTTATTTTAAATGATCATAATTTCTGACCAATCTGGAGAATGATTTCTTTCATTTGCACTTGGAAAGACATCCAACTCATTCAAACCTCAAAACAAGTTATCTTTGAATTAAACACAGTTTCGGGTTATATGTGCAGCTAAACCCTTGAATTTGCTCCAGAAATTGAGAATTTGGCAATATTTATTTATTCAGTATGTTTAACCCCTTCTAGGCCACCCCCTCTTTTAATTCTCCTCCAGTTAGGAAAGATTTGGATAGGGGAGAAAAATAAATGAAATGGGCTCTGGCAGTAGGCTGGCTGCATTGACATGCAAATGTATTAGCAACATGAGGAAAAAATGACTTTGGGCAGTGGGATTGGCAAACAAAGATATGGGGATCTGGTTAGAAGAGAGAAAGACATGATAGCAAACATCTAGAAAAGCTGTGATCAATAAATGTAAAGTTGCACCTCACTGACTTTTTGCTGCTAAGAGACGCTGAGCTCACTGCCTCCCCACTACTTATATAAAGGTGCAAATAATCTCAAAATTACATATTTCTCTTTCATCACATCTTATTTATTCTCCCTCCTTCTGCTTAACTTAATGTAGCAGCCAGCACCACCAGAATCATGTTTATTTTTAAAATGTATTCATTTAAAAAATATTTTATTGTTCAATTACAGTTGTCTGCATTTGCCCCCTACTACTCCCCCCTACCCCAGCTGTGGGGGAAACTTTGCGCACAAGTCCCCCTGTCCACCACGGATGAAAATAACACTACCAAAACATGATCTGCATGGGGAGGAGAGACGGTCAATCTCCCAAAGGAGAAGGACCAGGAGCCCCTTTCTCAATGGATTTTATTAGGTTCATGATACACAGAAATACAGGTAAAGCTCATCAATCAGTGTCAGGTGGCAAGGATCAAACAGTAGATAACATTTCAAAGAAATCTGGGGGCTTAATCTGAGTTAGTGTCTGTCAGGTAAGGAGATCGCAAAAACTTTGGGAGACATACTCATTTCCTGTTCGGACTCTTATCATATGAATGAAAACACTCTTTGCAAAGCAGGCTTCACAGGACTTTAGGAATTCTTCCTTATGCCTGATCACCCCCGATCCCCCTCTAGCCAGCAAGGGGCTGCGCCGCCTTCCCAGTCATAGGTTTTTAGGTTTAAATGGATTAGAGCCAGGAAGCACTTCTCCCAGATGGAAATGGGGACTCAGTCCATGTCAGAATAGCCGGGGAATGAGAGTCCATCACCCCCCCTTTGCTGCAGCTCCTCAAGTCCTTTCTTAAGGGCCTCCCAAGTGATTGTGTCTGGCTTAGGTTGCACTTCTTCTGAGGGGTCTTACCCGTCTCTGACTAACTGACCAAACATTGGGGACAGGAGATGAAACAGAAGCAGCACTTCTGCCAGAAATAAGCTTTGCTTTCTTAGTGGCTCACAGTCCAGAGGTCACTCCCTCAACTTTAGCCATGGGGGGCAATTACAACTCCTGAAACCAGGCAGAGCGGTTCCCAACATGGGCAGTTATTCTTTGTTGATTTATGTTTTCCTTATCTAGTTCTTCTATCCGCTGGCCACTGTTTCTCAATATCTCCTGCTGCCCTATCCTGGCACTTCCAGGGCTCAGGTCTTGACTCTTCTTTCTTCTTTCTCTGCACCAAATTGTAGGTGATATCCCCCAGACCTGTGAGCTTAACACCATCTATATGCTGACAACTCTCAGGTATATAGTGTTAACTAGTCTTGTTCCTGATTCCAGACTCATGCAACTTACATTCATATCTATGTAACATGTCTACAACAGAATTGCCAATTTCTTTTCTTAAATTTCTCCAACCACAATTTTTCCCAACTGTGCAAACAGAAACACCATCCTCTAGTTGCTCAGGTAAAAATTTTTGGAATCCACTTAAACTTTTTTTGTTTTTCATATCTTGATTTCAAATCATCAACAAATTCTTTGGTTGGGGAACTGAGAAGATGGCAGAGGAGTGAAGTTACACTAACCTCCTTCCGGGACCAATCTGGAATTACAACTTAATTGTGGAGAAACTATCATGAACTAACAACTGAGCAATAACGAGAGAAAAGCCTCATAACCTTAGACAGACATAAGAATCAGCTTCTACACAACCTGTCTAGTAGGAGTGAGGTAGAAACTCGAGAAGTCTGACAGGGCACTCATACACAGTAGTGCCAGAAGGATAATTAAGAATCTGATTGGATCCCTATGAGAAGAATGCGGTGTAAACCCTAAGATAGGATTCTCAGCCTAGAGCACTAGAGCCCAAAAAGTACACAGATAAGAAACAGAAGCTAAAGTACCAGGGCTGCTGGGACAGATGGCTGGAGACACAAGAGCCATTTAAAGGGCCAACACACAATATTCATTTGCAGCCACTTACCCTGGGCTCTGGCAAAGAACGGAATGGTGATGCCTGAGGAGAAACTAAGCTTTGGGGAGAGAACTGAGAGAGTAGATGTCAGTATACTAGTGCTGAGTCTTCCTCCATGTGGAAGCAGCCATCTGATCAGGCAGACCACTTCCCACCAAGCAGCAGCAGCCTGAGGAGAAACAATAGCCCCAACCACAAGAGAGTTTCTGCCCTTGCCTGTGGTGCTTAAGGCTGACTGCTGAGTACAGACTGACTATATTAACAACCAAGGAGATAGCCACAAACAGTACATCACTGGCAAAGGGGTGGCGGAGTGAACTAGAGAGACTTGAAGAGACTGGGGATGGAGGCCATGCAGAGAGAACTGAGAGAGTA